TTGCCAAAAAGTTTGTTGACATTTTGGACTGCCCAAGATTCATCAACAAGGATTCAAGAGTAACTGAAAATATATTATTGAAGTATTTTTAAATCAAAGAATGTGCTAAAAACACAAAAACAAAAAGGTTAATATATAGCATACAAGAGAACTTGTAACGTTATGCATACCCAAAAATTCCCCAAAAGAATATAGGAGTGAACTTGATAGCTCTGGAAAATTGCAGGTAGAACTTCCCACCTGGTTTCCACCACTTGTAGATATGAGACTGAAGCACAAGGACAAAGAAAGGAAATTTGATTCAGGTGAGGTAGAAAGTGAAAGTTGTTAAAATGAAAATAACAAACAAGATATAAAAGTAACACAAAAAATGACAAGTTTTTGAGGGTTGGATCAAGTTACAAACTACAAGGCCACACCACAGTTGCAAACTGATCCTATAGTTGCATGCTTTTACACTAGAATGGTATTTCAGCTAGAAAGCGTTAAATATATTTAGAATTATATGGTAGAAATGCTACGATTAATGAATTTTGAAGATGAGCAAAAAATGGGGTTGGAGAAAAGAAAGAGAAAAGCAGAACATACCTGACCAAAGCAGAAAACTGGGACCAGAGGACTGCCCATTTCCATGGCTATGCGGACAAATCCTCTTCGTGCTCTAAGGAATGCAATCTGTAAGGCAAACCAAGCATTGTTAAGTTGCTAAGACAAATTGATAAAGAAGAACCTCAAGGCAAAAACAAGAAGTCCATGTATGTTTTAGGTGTTGGAGAAAAATGTGGAGAATAAACAACTTATCTTGGAAGAACTGAAACCTCCTACCTTAACTAAGAAGTATGAAATAAGAATAGAGTCAGAAGAAGGAAACCTCAGAACCAGGCTCCATGTGGAATGTCTCCTGCACTCCACCAGGCACTATAATACAACTATAACCAGCATCCAATAGGGAAGAAAAATTTTTCTTTGTTGCTGGTGTGAGACCCAACCATGTCCATACATGCCTCAAAAATGGAGTGTAGAACACCTAATCATTCATCCATATGCATTACGGCAGAATGAGATTCAAATCACGGGGCGTGAAATGTGCAGGATATGACAGTTTAGGGGTGAAAGGTCTTACAGCGCTGCTTGCAAGGACTTTTATTTTTGGAAGAGGCATGAAACCTGTCAGGTCAGCGAGCGCAACAACTCCAATCGGCAAAACTGAATGTGGCTCATAGCCAAAAACTGAAACATTTCACAAGCTAAGATTTTATTAATTGCTACAAACTTTGGGGCTTTTCCCTGTAGCACCTTTTTTATAACAAAAAAGATAAAAACAGGGAAACTAAAGGAAGCTAAGAAGTAGAAGAAATTGATAAAATAACAACCACTTTCTTGAGCATCCCATCGGCAAATATGTTTCCGATGAAATTGATGTCAGCGGCGAATACAAGGCAGACAAGGATGTTTGCTGTATAATGCATCTAGAATACAAGCAGAGTCCCTTCTAAGGGACAAGACTGAACTAATGTGGAGGGGGGCATAATTCACAATTTGAATAAAATTAAAAGAGAAAGAAGGAATCAGACCGTAAGCGCGATCAGGATGGAAGGCGTGAATGTCCTCAACGTGGAGAGTGATGGGAAAATAACTGCAAGCATGTTTACATATATAGCTGCCCATTGCGATTTTTTGTTAAGAAGGAATAGGCAATTAAAATTGAAGTACTCTTATCACATCATATCATCTATTTAGTAGGAGTATTAAGAGGAAGAAGTCGAACCTGGACAACCTCCGGCCAAATTTACTGTAAGGATCGATAGGAAGAATCATGAAAAGCAAAAGCAACCCAAACACCCTGGGAAGAAAGAAATAAATGAATTTGCGCATTTAAATTCTTTTTCCTGAAAAAAAAAATCACTACTATTGCAAAGAAAAAGAGAAAGAGGACAAACACAAGGAATTTGGAAAAAGGAAGGAACAGAAAGGAGAAAAGGAGCAGGATGGCGTTGAAATGAATAGCTCCAAGCCATATCCCCATAGCTAATAGGGCGTGCATCGTGTTGGAGGGGAATTCATGTCTTCCACTGAATTCCCGATATCCAGTTGCCTTTCTCTCCTCCATTTCTTCCCCCGTTGTCCAACGCCTCGTTCCAATCGCCACCTATTTCAACTGCAGCTACCTTTGGATGGTTAACTATTACTCCGGTAAATCACAAATTCCACGACACTTCACTCCTCTTTCTTCCCTCCACTTTACTACTAATTTATTTCTAGATTGTTGAAACTTGAAAGCTTTTGCTAGTAGACTACCCAAGTTTATTCGATTCAATAAATACTGTAAGTTACATTTACAATATACAATCAAATAAAATCGATTTGTGAACCGCCATCAGCGTCTACCGTCAACGATCGCATCAAATGCTCTGTCATTGTTAAACTCCCGCATTTGATTGCATATCCTTTTATACATTTAATAATGACTTTTTATACTTTTTTTAATTTTTATGTAAATATTGACATTTATGTCATTTAGAGCAGGTTTGGTTTGTTTTTTTTTTAACTTAAAAATTAGTATAAAATTTTTATAAAAAATAATAATTTTTAAAATTAAGTTAAAATTATTAGATAAATTTATTTTTTATAAGTTTTTTTTATAAATAAACTGTTTAACAAAATAACATATATATATTTTAATTTTGATTAAAAGTACTACAAACGGTATTTAATAAATCAAGTAAAAAAGTTGAATCAAATAAAAGAAAGATAAATGTGAAAAAAACATTTGTTATTATTTTGTATAAATTGACTTGAAATTTATAACTTTTGAAGTTAAACAAAATTGATGTTACATACAAGAAAAATAACTTAATTGATTTGATAATTTATTTTTCTATTAAAATCATTAACGTGAATTCCAAATAAATACAAGTCTATCAAAATCTTGATGTCCCTACCCTCAAAGTTCCCTTTCATGAACAAAAAAGTTTTGGCTTCTGTATTTTTTTCTTTTTTAATTAGTTATTTATTTATTTTTTAATAAATTATTTATTTTGTCGAGGAATATTACATCATTTGTTGAGTATTATTAGCTTAAATGTTGAATTCACTGTTAAGAAGTTAAGAATTTTGTAATTCCTGTTGCCAAAAGAATTAAAGTCTATTTCAATTTTCTTATAATGTAGACTATTGTTATATTTAAAAAAAAATTCTTTAAAATTGAGTTATTATAAACGAATACAAATATTGACTTTTCAATTTTTATCTAATTTATCTCAATAACAATTAATCTATTTGACTAATTTTTTAATCATAATCAATAAATAGTATATAAGAAGTTAAGAACAAATAAATATCATATAATTATCATAATTAACAATAAACTAAGAAATATCAAATAATAAAAAGAGTTTTTAAAGTCAAAAAATAATAATAAAAAATACAATGAAAAACAAAACTAAAAAAAAAAAAAAACTATTTGCAGTTTTGAATTTTGAGTTTCTTTTTCCTCTTTATTTTTGTAACAATAAAAAAGTTTTAGAAGGATGATTTGCAGAGAAGGGAGAAGAAAGGGAGATAGATAGGGAGAGAGGGAGGAGATATTTTTTGAGAAAAGACTTTTTAGAAAAAAATAACTCTTTTAAAAAGTTATCGTGTTTTTTTTTTTGAAAAAAAAACTCCTATTTGAACTTTTTTTTAATCTCTTTTTTTAAACATTTTATTTTTAAAAAAAATTACTTTTTTTAAGAACTTTTAATAAAATATTATTTAGTTCGGTTTCTACTTTTAAAAAGTACATAAGTTAAAATTAAATTAGACTAAAAGAACATTTAATCAAATTTCTTTTAAGCTATAATAATGTTACCTAATAATTTACCCTACTCAAGTATAAATTCTATATCTGTTCTTGTCAGTAAAGTTCGACAAGAAAATTAATAATATTTAAAATTACTGTAAATCATATTTTTACATATAATCAATAATTATAAATTAATAAAAAAATTTTATAAAATTTTTAATAAACATATCTATTTTGAATATTTCATTAAACCTTATTCAAATTATATAAAAAAATTTTATATACTTGATCTATGTATGTAATAGAGTATTTCAATCTATTGATTTAAATGTTCAAATTCAATATTTATTTAGTCTTTTTTGCTTGTTGACTTAAGAATCTTATCTTAGTTTTCTAATTATTCTAAAAGTGTTTTTTTTTAATTTTTAATTTTGATTGAGTTAATATTTAAATAGTTTATACATGTTTATTTAAATAATATCTTAATTTAATAACTGTTTTTTTATACTTAATATTTTTATAATTCAATAAATTCGTGTCAATTATTTAAAATCTACTTATAGAAATAGATAAGAAATTATTTAGCAATCATTCTCTTTTTTTCATTTTTCTTTATCCATAATTTTTGAATGTCTTAAAATTATATTGTTTTAAATACTTAATATTTTTTTTATATTTTCAAAAAATCATTTTTTTAACTTTTTAGCACTAAAAACTATAGGAAGGATCAATTATGTAAAATTTAAATGTTAAAATTAAAGTTTTTAAAACACACATGAAAGAGAACAATAATTTGAAACAGAAAAAGTATTTATCCATTTTTGTATAATTTAATCCATTTTTTCTCGTTTTTATTCAAGTTTGTACTTAAACTAATAGAAGTAGAAAGGAGTGAATCAACATCGATTAGGATGCGTACTCCGCAAATTAAGAGTTTTCACTGCGCAAGGATTTAATTAATTTATTTACATATATTAGGAGAAGGAGAAAAATATTGATCTAAGTAAGATACCGTTGTATTTAATTATTTGGTGTTATCATCTTTCAAATACACGTTTCAACAACAACTTGACGGTAATGCCTAAGTCCAATTGCCTATCTAATTTTTTGCTTCTTCCTACTCAGTTTCAAAATTTCATCATCCGGAAAAAGAAAACGAAGCAGAGCTGCTCTGCTAGCTAACACTCCAAAAGAAAAAAAGGTACAGAGCTGGACATCAACATCCCATTTGAAACCAGCGAAGCAGTTTCTTACGCCTGACTGCTTCGGTAATAAGTATTGATTTTCGTCTTCCGCCTTTCGGTGGTTTTCTTTCGCATGCTTTTGTAGTGCTGCTCTCCTGCAAGATCACCATATGATTTCTTTCTTAGCGCAGTTTCAAATGTATAATTGGAGCAAATGTAACCAAACAAGGTCTTGATTGCTCCCGTCCCATTTTTTATACATATATAGCTGTATTTCCACTTACTTGACCTTTGATGAGAGGATCTTGCTTCTTTTGGGGTGCCATTTTCAAAGTTCCATTCAGCTCTTTGTTTCTGGGTGCTTTTTGTTCAGGGATGGGTATGGTGGAAGAGCTTGACCTCAATGTGTTTCCAATATCTAGCTCAAGACTCAACTGAATGGGGGAAAAAGGAAACCAATTCAATACCTCCTAAAGCTTTAGCAATCCAAAGGCAGTTCATCAATTAAGTGATCAAAGTGGTGCAAAAAAAAAAAGTAGTGATAAAGTGATTGAAAATTGAGTACATTATATTGTTTTTATGCTCCTCAACTCAATTAACCTGTGAGACTCGATTCTCAAGCTCTGTCAGTCTCTCCATCAGGGTACCCTTAAGTGAAACTTCCTCAAGTGCAGATGATAGGGTCTTGCACTGTACTTCCATTGAAGTTAAGGAAGGGTAGTTAGAAGATTGCCTCGCCGACAAGCACCATCGTCTCTCTTCTAGAAACTGCAGCTGCAAACAACTAAGGCATGCATGCAGCGATTCTTTAAGACTGTTGATTTTTCTATTGGGAAGGAGGCATTACCAAACGATCAAGGCGATCCAACCTTGGAAGGACGGCCAAAGGTGGAGAGAACTCCTCCTCTTGGTGGTCCATGTCTTTCAACACCGATCAGAAAGTGAGGCCTCTATACCTCTTTCTACAGTTTTATCCGTTTATCAATGATCCTAACCCTACTCTACCCTTTAGATTATTGGGTGCAGAGAGGGCGCTAGCGACCAACTAACTCCAAACAGGAATTTCCACTTTTCCAGCATCCAACTTTTAATTAATAAATGGTCCTGAATGGGAGGGGCTTTAAATGGTAACCACCCTCCCATAATTATGGCCATGCCTCTTAAATTTTTGATTGCTTTGGACAGTGTTCTTTTTCAACATTTTAAAGCCATTAGATTAATATATATATATATATATGTATATATATTATATGGTCTTAAAAAATGAGTTTTTTTTTTTTAAATGAGCTCCATGCATAAGGTGTTTTTAAGAATAGACATTTTCATAATTTTAACTGTTTCTCAAGAGAAATAATATTTGGACAAAATTATCCTTAGTAAAACTAACCCATTTGTTGGTTCCATACCTCAACCCGAAACCTATTAATAGGTCAAGTATGTTCATATGGTCCATAACTCCTCAGTTCTCATCGACAGACCATACATATCCTTAGAAGCAATTCTGTTTCTGTTGAAAGCATTCCTCGTCAATTCAACTTTTAAGCATTTTCACAGTGGTAGGAGTATTTTGGATTGATTATTATTCGCATAAAGGTAGTTCACATATTGAGTAGTCAGACGAAGTTTAATATAAGCAGAGAAAGGTATAATATGTTTTAATTATATTTTGAACCATGTGGAGAAATGGTTATTCTTCATGTTTAGCGTTTAGGTTTTTAAGCATAAACCTATACATGTTGCTTGTTCATATTGATATTCTTATTGTTTGAAATTGTTGAATGTAAACATAAACGTGGCATTGTTGGTGTTGTTGGGGTGAAAAGGTGATCGGGCATGCGCGACTGGTTGATATGTATATGTTATGACCCTTTGATAGGAATTGGTTTAAGGGTTTAGATATTGCATGACTGGGGGCTTGCTTATGTGGTTGGCACTTTATGCATGACTAGATTTTGGCATGGGGTCACTTAAAGTGTGCGTGACTGCATTAGGGTTTAATATTGTATGAGTGTTTGATATGTGATTGTGTGACATATTGATAGGTCATTACGTGACAGCATGACTAGATGTTGGCATGGAGTTAGGGTGTGCGTGATTGCATTAAGGATTAACATTGCGTGACTGGGTGATAAGTCATTGCGTTACCTATGGATAAATCATTGCATGACCGCGTGACTGGATTGAGGCATGACATTACTTAGGCTCTGCATGATTGCATAAGGGTTTAATATTACGTGACTGATTAATAGGTTTGTATTGTTTTGGGTCAACTGTAATGCTTTAATATGTATATGTTCATTTACTTAATAATCCATGCTCAACACTAGCATTAATTATTCTGTTTTAGAATTTTCTACAAGCAGTAAAATTATTGAGAAGGTTATTTTTGGAGTGAGCTTCTGAGGAGGGCTATTTCTAAAAAATTCTTCTTATTTTTTTGTTAATCTACAATGATGGTATTAACATGACTAAAATGTGAATGTTATCTATTTTATGTTACAGATGGTCAGGACAAGAACAGAGTAGGATAATGTAGAATCTTTGTTTTGTGGGCCCAAGCACCGATAAGGGTTCAACGCTGGCATTAACATCCACTGTAAGTGGTCGTTTCTGTATGTGATACGTGAGATACTGTGCAAAGTAAATGAGTTGGAAACCTTGAAGAGAACAACACTTTTTCGCGATATAAATGGTCGTCCATTGATATGGATTCCTCACTCGTAACCGTTTGAAAGGATATCATATCTACCTTAGGAATAATCCATTAATGGGATACCCTTATCATATCTACCTTGGGAATAATCCATTAATGGGATACCCTTGTATTTACCCTCTCTTGATCACTGTCATCAAGTGAACGAATGTTGTTCTCAAGTACAATGTCATTGTCATTGTCATTGCCATTCTCAAGTGCAATGTCGTTCTCAAGTGCACCTTCAACATTTTCTAATTCAATAGTTGTGGCATGGTCGTCGAACTGAACCTCCTTTTACACAACAGTTATGGCATGGTCATCGAATTGAACCTCTTCTAACACAACAATTATGGCATGTCCTATACTGCCATTTGCATGATTACAATCCCGAATGTTGGTGTGCTCACCCCTGTCGTCCTCTGAACTGTCATCATATCTGCCAACGTAATCATCTTCATAGTCATCATGCAACTCATCATTCCAATCCACTATGTCGTCCTCTTCAACATCATCTTCAATCTGATCAGATGCATCCTCATCACTCATAACCATCACAGTGTCATTTGTGAATGACAATGGACCCACTGCATTCTCAAGCTACAGTTGCGTTTGTTGCAAAGTACCAAGTATTTTGTTCAATGCACATTCTGATCAGAATTGTGCAAACATCATTTGCAGACACGTCATGTGTGTGCCAAGCTACTCAAACTCATGAGGATATGTCAAACATGATTGCCATGGTTGTTTGTTAGGAAATGCATGGTGTGGTTTGTCCGAATAATTAACATTCTATTATAAGTGACTATTATATTGGATACCATGTTCATGTGGAATATAATTTGCATTTTGTACCTTAATTGTCACAAACACAACAACTGCCCTCTCATCTCGTAGAATACTTGCTACATCTTCATCATCCTTGATAATTGCGCATGAAACCCCTAGGGCATGACTGAGTAATGCATGTAGCTCAATTTCATTATTATGTGAGTTGACCCCAACAACTCTTTCAACCAGCTTCACTAGGCCCGAAAATGACAACTTAATCCCAACACCCATCACTCGCGTCTCACCACCCGAGTAAGTGTCATCGACCTAATGACCACTGTATTTAATCATAAGCTTCACCTTTAGCAATGCCTAAGTCACAGTCAATCAATTTATCAAAAATTTAATAAAAAATAAGTGTCATAGTCAATCAATTTATCAAAAATTGCCTTTTAAGGCATAAAAACTACTTACGCAATGCCTGAGTCACATTTCACAAGCTGCTAAACTTTAACAAAAAATAAGTATCACAATTTCTAATGCACATTCATGCAATGCTTAAAACTAGTGAACAAAAGCCTCAAAACAAGAGATTAATTGCATAAGTCACTCACCGTCAGTCTCGCAATACCTAATAATAAGTCACTTAATGTGTAATATCTACTCACATTATGCGAACATAACCAGTAATGTAACGGCCCACTGTCACGCAATATATAAAAACCAGTCATGCAGTTTCTTAAAACTAGTAAACAAAAGCCTTAAAATAAGAAATGAATTGCACAAATCACGCACCTCCATTCTTGCAATATCCAATAATAAGTCACTTAATGCGTAATAGTCACTCACATTATGCCAACATAACCAACAAATGCCATAGCCCAACGTCACGCAATACATAAAAATTAGTCTTGGAGTACCTACAAACTATAGAGCAAAATGCTTAAAATAAGAAATGAATTGCACAAGTCACGCACCTCCAATCTCGCAATAGTTAATAATAAGTTACTCAATGCATAATATCCATTCACATTATGCTAACATAACTAGTCATGTCACGGTCCAATGTTACGTATTACATAACAACAGGTCACGCAATACATAAAAATTAGTCATGTACAGCCTACAAACTACTGAACAAAATGCCCAAAACAATAGATGAGTTGCACAAGTCACACACCTCCAGTCTCATAATACCTAATAATAAGTCATGCAATGTGTAATATCCATTCACATTACGCTAACATAACCAGTCACGTAACGGTCCAATATAACGCAATACATAACAAGAAGTCACGCAATATATAAAAATCAGTCACACAACACCTACAAACTACGGAACAAAAACTTCAAAACAAGAGACGAATTGCATAGGTCACGCACCTCCAGTCTCGTAATACTTAATAATAAGTCACTCGATGTCTAATATCCACTCACATTATACCAACATAACCAGTCACGTACTGGCTTAACGTCATGCAATACATAGCAATAAGTCATCATATACATACAAACCACTCACGCAATGTTTCAACAAAATTTGTGCATTGCAAAATTCACACAGCGCCTATAATCTAGTATCACAAAACCTAATAATAGGTCACGCAATGTCTAACATCGACTCACATTTGCTTCTTTTATATAAATAGAAACTAAATTTATTCAACATAATATAAAAATAAACTAAGAAAATATGATATCAATGAAAATTTTTATTTTATTCATGACAGAAATAAAAATAAATGATACAAAAAAAATGAACCGTAGTTCATTTCTTCCTAAGTTCATCTACTATTTCATATATTTTAGCCAGAATCTTGTTGTTGGCCAGGATATCTCCTTCCAGGTCAAATGTTATGGCCACCAGCTTGTCCATTAGGGCATCTATTCTTGGATTTTCTCAACTTTCTCCCTAAGGGAAAGCATCTTCGGTATCTCTTCCTTGGAGGTAGCCCTTTTACCAGTGTTGACTCGTGGACGTTTTCATATCATTACAATTATCTGGTTGCTTAAGATAATTTAATTTGATTAAAATAGTTAAAGGTTCCCTTAATTTATAGGCATGAATGTTGACTTTTCGTGTTCTACATTAATATAAGTGCAATTAAAGAGGGCTGAATTGGTTATTAAGTATCTGTTCGGCTTAATTTTTTTTCAACCTATATATCTCCTAAAAGCAAAAGCTAGGCCAAACATCACTTTTCAAGAAATTCTTAATAAAAAGTATCTTTTTTTTAAAATATAAAATTTTTGAAAAAAGAGATTAAAGAATAGCTCGAGGGAGGAGTTTTCTCTTTCTTCTCTTTTTCTAAAAACATATTAATTTTTCAAAAAATACCCATCTCTCAATCAATCTCTTTCTCCTCTCATTCCCTCTGCAAATTACCATTCTCCAACGTAAATCGTGATTTTCCTTTCCTTTACCTCTCTCTACAAAAATTGCTAAAAAAATAAAAAA